AAAATACCATTACTGATTCCCGTATTTCTAGCCAGCGCCTCAACAGATGAGGTCTAGTACAATTTGGGCTCCAGCTGATGACACAGTTCTGATCCACTGGAGGGGAGGCCTCAACTAAAAGCCTGGCAGAAGAGCTCCGTCTCGCAGGCCCTGTGGAACTGTTACAAGTCCCGCAGGGCCCTGATCTCATATGGGAGCTCATTCCACCAGGTAGGGGCCAGGGCTGAAAAGGCCCTGGCCCCAGTTGAGAGAAGACAGATGTCCCTGGGGCCAGGGACCACCAGAAGATGCTGATTTGCAGATTGTAAAGTTCTCCAGGGCTCATTGGTTTTAGAATCCTTGGCTTTAAAAAATCTATTTAATGACAGAAGGAATTTAACTTAATTTTCACACCCTTAGCCCCCCCCCCAATACAATCACTTAAAGCAGGATTCTCTTTCTAGCACTGATGTGTATGTTATGAACAAGGATGTCTAAAGTGAAGAAGCCTTGGTGGTGGTGGTGGAAAACACCATCAAGTTGCAACCGACTTAAGGCAACCCCCTCAGAGGGCTTTCAAGGCAAGAGATGAACAGAGGTGGTTTGCCATCGCCTGCCTTTGCGTAGCAACCCTGGTGGTCTCCCGTCCAAATACCAACCTGGGCTGAGCATGCTAAGCTTCTGAGATCAGAGAGGAGCCTTGTTAGCAATCCACGAGTAAGTGCTGTCGTCGTTTTGGAGACTCTCTGCCCACGCAGGTAGCACAAGCTGAGTGTGAAAGAGAAGACACGGCATCCGCCAATCCAAGTTTTTATTTATATGTATTTATTATTCAGGTCTGAGATTCCTTTTTCAAGGCTAGTCTTCTAAAGCTAGAATATTTCCTACACTCAGTTCATAGCAGAAGGACCCCAACTTCTGCTGGTTTTTAAAAGATGCATTTTATGATGGATAGAGAAGGGGTGTCGAACTCATTTGTTATGGAGGGCTGGATCTGACATAAATTGGACTTTGTCGGGCCGGGCCATGTGTGTCATAAAATGTAATGCCAGGTAGGAGAGACATAAACTTTATAAAAGACACAAACACAAAGATTTTTTTTACTTAAAAAAACATGCTTAAACTATTAGCTCTGTAAGCTGCAAACCTACTTTTGATTTATTGACATTCACCACAGAAATCTCATGCTCAGAGTTCTGAGTCTAGGACCCAGGGTAAAACGTGAAACGGCTGAGTGATTAAGAGGGTCTGGCGAAGCAAGCTATGATGCAGCAGCAGCAGAACTGGAAGCAGGACATGGCCAGTTCCACTGCGGGCCTGATAGAAGCCCTCCGGGGGCCTGATCCGGCCCATGGGCCACATGTTTGACACCCCTGTTCTAGAGCCTGCTGGGGCATATTATGAGGGAAAAGCAAGAAACAAAATATTTATAAAATGCTACCACTGAGGCAAGAGGAAAGTAGAGACGACCCCCAGGCACTCCTCCATTGTGCTTGGACTGAAACCTTGTTAAAATGATACTTTAGTTACTTGTTAACTTTAAAGCAGTGTGACAACACAACCACTCCCCACCCAAAAACAAGTAAATATATTTCTCTAGCAGAGGCTTAACCTTCAAGCTGCAGTACCCAGCTACAAACAGAAGAGTAACTTACTATCAACACAGTAGAAACAAGTCACCGTTTAAAACTCTTTATTTAATAGACTGACTCCACAGGAATGACAATATTTTAAGAGACATCTGAAGCTTTCAGTGTATTAAGGCATTACAAAAATCTGTTCCACGCACAAAGCAGAGGTGTGAATTAAAGCCCCATGCTAGTTCAGTTGTTCCCGCAAACTATCGGTTTTATGGTTAACAGTTGTTTGCCTTTTTCACTTTGGTTATCAATATTTGTAAGATACAGTTAAATAAAATGACCTGAACTCCTGAATCCAACCACTCTCAAGACACTATGGACATTGATTTTAATGTACCAATGAATAAAACAGACGAAACCATAGATCAACCACTAATACAGTTCTTACGTCAGATCTGTGGAATACCGAATTGCGTGGTAGGTACCGCCCTCAGATTAGAATTGGGCCAACATTCCATCGAAACCAGAGCTTGGATCTTGGCTCTGAATATGAGACTTGAAATAATTTCCTCAGAGAATAACAGCTTACTGTTTTATATGAAGCATGACAACTTCTCTAGGGCGTGGAACCGAGCAATAGAAAAAAAACTGAACGTCGTGCAATGCTCAGAAAATGTAATTGCTGCTCTAGGATGGCCGTTAGCTTGTAAAACCATCAAGAAATTAATTATGAAGGTAGATGCGAACAGCACCATATGCAGAGCTAGGAGGGTTTGCTTTTCCCTTTATATGACGATTCCCTAAAACTTTACAATTCTAATGTACCTGTTCAGCTTAACAGTCCCAAAGTATAGACGAGCAATTATGCTCACAAGATTAAATGCACTGCCTTCTGCAGTTTCTGAAGGCCACATATTGGGTGTACCTTTCTCAAACTGATAATGTGGCTTGGGTGCTATCGAATCTTTAAGTCACATCGTATTTGAATGTCCCTGCTATATCAAGGCGAGACAGAAATGGATTAAACCTTTGACATTACAGTGGACAGAGTCTTCAGTAGATGTTTTAGTTCCTAAACTATTAGCAGACTCAAGAGTAGAAAATTTACTCACTTTAGTTAAATTTTTAGTCCAGGTCATGAGAATTTGGGCAACTTGTTAGAAAACAGCTGTCTTTGTAGCTTATGTACTAACCCTCTCTGGCCTGAATTTTTCCTTTCTTCCTCATATTCCCAGTCATGTTTGATAAACACTGCTTAAGATCTACAGGTCAGAGGAGTTGAGTAAGTAAGAAAGAAAGAGTTTAAAGTAAAACACTACTTCAGACAAGTGGGATTGGTATTTTGAGTTATTTGCAAACACGGCGATATTCACATTCAAACTCAACATCGGTCTAAGAAACATGAACACTATCAGGCCAGATACATTTCAATTTCAACCGTTCTGTTTACCCTTGAACCATTTAAAGAAGATTCTTGCTTGACAAAAAATTCCCTTGAAAAACCTTTTGCCCAAGTATCAGAACTAGGGTAGCGCTGGTACACGAGGGCATGTTCACATATGGCAAGAGCACCCTGTAGCCACATGAATCCCTGATTTGTAGGCAATTTCACACTCAACCTTTCCCCAAGAACCTGTACCATTCCAAATGGCAATCATGTATGTTTCTAATTTTGCCCTGTACATGTATACATAGCAGGAACCTTTTGCCCGTTTTTGCTTCCCTGAGTGTATTGCGGAAGATGCTTGTGCGATCATCACACAAGACGGTGCATAACTGCTGGCTCCGGATTTCCGGGGCTATGAGGTGCCCTAAACGCCTCCCCCCTCCCGGTGCCTCCTGCTGCCCACTCATCTCTTCTGTCCCTCAGGTCTTGGTCTGCAGTATGGCCCAGTGGGAGGTGGAAAGTAGAATCTTCATCTTCTCCTGCGCCCTCACTCAAAGTGAGCAGACCAATCAGCTGTGACAGCACAAGGGAGAAGGAGGGACAAAGGGTGACAGGTCTCCCTCCTATTGGAGCACAGGCCTCAGTAGGCACCCAGTGATTCTGATTTCTGATCCTAGCCCTGCTGTGTATACCACAGTATGGGCTTTCCCCCTATCTGCCACCAGTGTACATGTGTTGGGATAAGGTCAGGTATGAGGTGACCTCCTATAATGCCTCCCACAATGCATTGCAGAATATTTTGGAGCAGGGATAATATTTACATTCAGCACTGTAACAAAATCTTCTCTGATGAGCCTATTTGTAAGCGGAGTCCTCCTCTGAACATACAATAGTACGAAATCTGGTAATGAAGCGACATTCAAGTTATCGAAAAAACGATGTTATATTGAAACTTTACATCCTATGAACAAATGAAAGTTTTTGAAAAAGCATCATTCATTAATTATGTCCCTTTTGGCAGCTGCGTACATTGGTCTTAAAGCTATGACTTTGGTATAAGGATAGGGGTTTCAAAAGCTCACAAGGCTGAATCAGATCTGGACAATCCAGAACTTTCAAGATAACAAACATTTCCCACATCCCAGAAAAACACCTATCAGGGCAGAGTCTCAGGTGTGACGCACAGAGGTCCATGAACAGAAGTCCCAGTGCTTCTCCTTCTTTAAGCATTAGGAGCATGGTGTAAATTAGGATCGGGACCATGGTGTGAGGTGTGTGGTTGTGTCAACCCTTCCCACAATCCCGTTTTCCTGATCAAAAGGGAGCCACTATTTGTCCCACTCGGGTAACCATTATCAGCACCGATGCTCCCCCAGTGGGGTGAATGGTGGCTCCCTAGGGCCATTTTCAGATTGAGAAAATGGTACTGAGGTTTCACTCCTCCTCCCCTTGAGGTTTTGATCTGACTCAGGCCCCCATGCGCTTGAATTTTAGTGAAGAAGAAATGCTGGGAGCTCTGTTCATGGAATCAGAGCCACACCTCCTTGAAGTCTTAGATACCAACTATATAGGACTGCAACAGAGGAGCACCTTTAAACTTGTTTTTTCCCTAACAACATTTAAAGAGAATGTGTGGATAACATGCTTTAAAGCACAAAGAGTGAGTGGGGTCAGCATTTCTCACTCTTCTTCTAGGCACTTTTCTGCCGGACAGATTCCATTTCCAGTATTTATGTCTGATCAGGGAAGCGATCTTCACCACCTGCTATGTGTCTACTAACCTTTCCCCATAGCAGGAAAGCCCACAGCTAACCTTCAAGCAACGGGCACTTAGGTGTCTTGTTTTATCCAGTGCACGATGGGAACAGAAAATTCATACAAAGCTACAGAGCTGTTGTGAGTCAGACCAAAGAACTGTAGCCCCACAAGTGGCCTATCTCCCATCACCATGACCTGCTTGGCAATTTTTTAATGATCCCTACATACTGCTCATCCCCCTCATGGATCACCGCCTTGTCGTGGCGAGGGGGTTTCTGTGGTTCGATGAAGCTGTGGGCTATGCCGTTGAGGGCCACCCAAGACGGACAGGCCACAACAGAGAACTCAGACCAAGTGTGCTCATAGTAACGTAAGAAAATCCCCAGTCTTATTCAAAATGGCGGCCATAATAAATATGGTGGCTTGCTGGGTTACCACGGAAACATGGAAGAATGGTTTCAAGGGGGAGCCTCTGGGGAAGAGGAAAGTTAGGCCAAACTGGGTCACTGAGATGGTTAGGGATGCCTTCCATAAGGTATGTCATCCAGGAACAAGCCTCCCAACTATTTAACATTTCCTAGGGCATGTATGTCTGCATTCTCCAGAATTTCCACCTTCCGGTTATCAGGTCCTGGCATCACTACGTTGTTCACCATGGCCCGAGCCACAGTCACTGTGGGGACGGAGTACAACGTGGGGCAGACATAAGCGACTGCTCCAAGGACTTTTCTGGTCACCCACTCGCCAGGACGGGACTCCCGACGATCACACAGCAGGACTCTGCAGGAGAGGAGAGGAGAGACGCGGATCAAAAACCAGCTCCCCCCAGTTTTACATTAACTACCTCTCAGTCCTGCCCCAAATGATGATGACTGTGAGAGAATAATGGGCAACAGCGAGGGCCTCTTAGATGGGAGAAGCGTGTGGAGAAACACGACACAAGAAGGGACGATGCAGGTGGGTGGGAAGGAGGCAAGACGTTGCCAGCATTTCCCAGCAACACTAAGAGCAATGAGGAACAACTGACCCAGGAATGTAATTGAATAATAGATCCCCCCCCCGACGGGACCTATACACCCACCCCAGACTAGAGATGTAAAATTTCCGGAAATTTTGAAGCTCGGAAAAAAACCCGGTTTTTTTCCGGGGGAAAACGGAAATTTTCGGAAAAATTGAAAAAAAATGCTACATTAGCATTTCTTTTGTTTTTTCCAGATTGAAAGTCATTCTGTTACTTTAGGAACATAAAATATGACTATGGACCTTTTTACTTGGCATGAAATTATCACAACTAGCATATTAAAAATATAGTGTATCCAAACAATTATTTCAAACAGAATACCCCACCCACATGCAAAACCAAAACTGAAACTTTTTTATTTTCTTCTGACAATCGCACCTCCTAAAGGAAGAAATGCATCTTGTTCTTGCATTGGAGGGTTCAGTTTGTAACCTAGGACTTGCTTGTCCTCAGTGCACAGAAATTAGATCAATCTGATACCATATATATATATTTTTTTAGAAATGATTTGGAAAATATTTGAACACCTTGTCTTAAAATATTTTATTCATCATGTTAAAATAAAACGTTCCATAAGCAATTTTTTTCTTTTTTCAATTTTTCCAATTTTTCGGAAAAAAACAAAAAGGCTTCAGGAAAAAAAACGGGAAAAAACGGTTTTTTTTCCGGGCCTTCACATCTCTACCCTAGACCACAAAATGGAACCTAGGCCCAGGCTAGTTTACATGGCACATGGGTGGCTACTAGCCTCATGGCTGTTTCCTGTGCTGTTCTAGAACTGACGACACTCCTGTTGTGCAAATGCCAAGTAAAGGGACCACGGATGGAGAGAAAATAGCTCAGCAAGAGCAACATGGATGGAGTCTTGAACTTGGGCCAGGAAGGTCAGGATTACGTTCCCTACTCAGCCATGAGACTGACTCTTGGTCACTGTCTTTCACCCAAACCTGACTTAACTCCATAAACGCCACTCTGAGTGCTACAGAAGAAGCACAGGACAGGCAGACAAATGTACAGACCGATAAAAGGGGCACCCAACACACACACAAGCTCTCCTCCCTTGGATCAGTAAACCTTCTGGGTCTGTGTTCACAGTGACTATTGCTACTGAGAACAAATTTAGAGCCCAGTGGGGCACCTATAAGACCAACAAAGGTTTATTCAAGGTATGGGCTTTCGTGTGCAGGCACACTTTTTCAAATACACTGGAATGGAAGGTAGAGTCCAAACTTATAGACGGGATCTGAACAGCAAATTAACATGCAACATGGTGAAGATGCTTTAAGATATGCAAAGACAAAACTAAGTAACAAGCTAAGGCTATAAGGTCAACAGTTGTTTTGATTTAATAAGGGGGGGAAGGAAAGCAATGCAATAAATATGTCAAAATAGGGGATAAATGCGTAAAGGCATCTTCTCTAATTGTGGGAAGTAAACTGAGATTTCCCATTTGTCTCCTCTTGGATGTGGAGGTAACTTAACAGCCTTTCTTTCTTTCTTTTTTTGAGGTGGGTGCAGCGGTATGTCAGCAAAAACATTTTAATATTCCTTGCATCGCATTCAGTATTCTAATATACTATTATACCTACTACTGCTTCAGACCAACACGGCTGACCACCTGGAACTATTGTTATTGAGGTCTACCACTTTAGACACAACACAGGCAGGAGATCCAGGTTAAAATCCCCATTTTGCCACGAAGTTTGCAGGGGGATCTTGGCGCACGGACTCTCTCAGCCTTACCTACCTCCCAGGGATGTTGTAAGACAACGTAGTGGAAGAACCACCTGCACAGCCCTTCCTTGGAGGAAGAGTAGGATAAAAATGCATAATAGGGGAAGTGCCATCGAGTTGCATGAAGGCAAGACACTAACAGAGGTGGTTTGTCATTGCCTGCCTCTGCAGTGGCAACCCTGGACTTGCTTGCTGGTCATCCAAGTACTAACCGGGGCTGACCCTGCTTCACTTCTGAGATCTGATGGGGCTAGCCTGGGCCATCCAGGTTAGGGCACCAGAATGCATAGGAAATGCTGGCAATGCTAGGGCATAAGATTGCATAATATCCAAACTACAAGATGTCATAGTCCCACTGTACACGGCATTGGTCAGGCTGCACCTGGACACTGTGTGCAGTTCTGGAGGCCTCACTTCAAAAAGGATGTGGACAGAGTGGAGCGGGTGCAGAGGAGAGCAATGAGGATGATCAGGGGCCTGGAGACCAAGCCCTGTGAGGAAAGGCGGAGGGACTTGGGAAATGTCCAGTCTGGAGAAGAGGAGGTTGAGGGGGGACATGACCAATGTTCCCTCTAAACTGTGGAGTCTTGTGAGCAAAAATTCTACTTTGTGAGCTACAGACATTAAAGTTGTGCGTGAGCTATTTGGCTACTGCATAAATTAGTTTGTTCAGGAGCCATCCTTCCTGAGCTAAGACAAAAATCTGTGAGCCAGAGGCTAAAAAACTGTGAGCTAGCTCACACTAACTCAGCTTAGAGGGAACACTGGACATGACTGCTCTCAAGGTATCTGAAGGGCTGCCACTTAGAGGACGGCAGGGAGCTGTTCCTGTGGGCAGCAGAGGAGAGGACTCGCAATCATGGGTTTCAATTAAGGGTGGGAAGGTACCGGCTGGCTCTTAGGGAAAACTTTTTTATAGCAAGAGGTCTTCAACAGTGGAATTGGCTCTCTCGGGAGGTGTTGGGCTCCCCCTCACTGGCAGTCTTTGAGCAGCGGCTGGACAAACACTTGTCAGGGATGCTCTAGGCTGATCCTGCACTGAGCAGGGGGTTGGACTAGAGGGCCTGTACAGCCCCTTCCAACTCTGTGATTCTAGGATTCTATAGATAAGTAAAAACATCTACCTCTTACTGCTCCATCTTTGCTAAACGTGAAATATAGTATCACCTGCTTAAACATCATTCAACTTCGATAAGTGAACTTGAGCTACATGTGCTTCTGGAAACCAAGATGGATATGCCGGCGTGAAACTTCCCCGTGCACACACCCACAGCCTGTGTCTTGATTCTCCTCCTGAACAGCCGGCAAGCTTACAAGATACAGTCATTTCTTTTACTTACAAGAAGCTTCATGTACAATACACATTTGCAATGAATCGACGCAAAGAAGCATTGCTCCACAGGTTCCCATGATGAACCTGATGCCCTTTGATGACCCACGCATGAGGGCCAATTGCTGAACATTCCAGAAGGATGGATGCTCAACCAGTGGCTGGGGTCATAAAAAGTCCTCACCCATCCATCTCCACATACACGTCTGTTAATACTTACGCTGGTCTGAATATGGAGCAGCGGTCAAAGCCAACCGCTTCGACCCTGGACTCTGCTTCACCCTACAGGGGGGATACAGTAAACCAGACGTTAGGCACAAGCTCTCAAACACACCCATGCAAACAGCACTTGGTTCCACACTCAAAAATTACAGGCCACAGGTATGAAGCTGGCCTATGAATTAAACAGGGGCTAAAGTCTTCCAAAAGCATATTCCACTGCCTAGAGAGCAATCACCAGGGGTCATTTCGTAGAAAAAGAGCTGCAGGAGCTCATTAGCATAACTCATTAGCATAACTTATTTGCATATGCCACACCCCCTGACATCACCGGAAGTGTGTCAGAAGGCAACCCCCCCCGCTCAGGC